CCTTTGTAGAATACTCTTCTGCAGATTGAATACCAAATATCTCTAGGCAGAACCTTGTTGGACCGGACCATAAACATTCTCCCAAGTTGGTATGGAATCTTAATTGTTCTGAACTTGTGCCATTTCATATTATCATGTGTGGAACGTTTTTCTTCTATGCAGCTGGGCAGAGCACCTTGTCAGGTGGTCCCAACACGAAACAAATCAATAAATAAACGACAACAAAAACTTACATAAAAGTAAGCTGAGGGCCACATGTGTCTGTAGGGCACACCTGTTCTAGGGAGACAGATGGCATTTTTTCCCTGGGAAGAAGGACTGATTGTTAAACCCCTCTGATAACTGTAGCTCAGTGCAGGAATAAGGTTCTCCAAGAAAGTGTCAGTGCCCTAAACAAACTGTGTTTCCCAGGTTCTTTAGGGGAAGCCTTGACTGTTTTAAAGTGGTACGATACCGCTTTAAATGTGTAGTGCAGTCGCGCCCAGTGTCTCTGGATGGAGAGGGCAGAGGAGGTCAGGCAATTTGGGATGGAGGTGGTCCTGGGCTGGTCTCTGCCTTTCGCCTGCCTTGCAAGGTTGTTATGAAGGCTAAAGATGGGGTTAAACCAACATAAGAAGCTGCGTTATAGGGAGTCAAACCACAGCTGCACCCAGCTCACTATTGTCTCTCAACCGCTGAGCTATGCTCCCTTCCTCAGCTACACCAGGAAGATAAAAATATAAACTAATAGGCAAATCCACACCACACATTTAAAGTACAGGCAGAGCACATCACTTCTGAAGAAGAACCTTGGGAATTCTTTGGCTCTGATAACAGTGATGTTATGGGGACGCAGGTGGCGCAGTGAGTTAAACCACAGAGCCTAGGACTTGCAGATTAGAAGGTCGGTGGTTCGAATCCCCGTGACGGGGTGAGCGCCCGTTGCTCAGTCCCTGCTCCTGCCAACCTAGCAGTTCAAAAGCACGTCAAAGTGCAAGTAGATAAATAGGTACCGCTCCGGCGGGAAGGTAAACGGCATTTCCGTGCGCTGCTCTGGTTCGCCAGAAGCGGCTTAGTCATGCTGGCCACATGACCCGGAAGCTGTACACCAGCTCCCTCGGCCAATAAAGCGAGATGAGCGCCACAACCCCAGAGTCGTCCGTGACTGGTCCTAATGGTCAGGGGTCCCTTTACCTTTACCTAGTGTACATGACTTCTAACAAAGAACCTTGGGAATTCTTTGGCTCTGATAACAGTGAAGAAAGGAGCAGCTCTAGAACTCCTGGAAACTTGTATTGTATCTTGTACATTTATATCTCACCTCCCCCTGGCCCAAGGTCACCCAGCCAGCTTCATGGGGACTAGAACCTTGACCTCCAACACTCTAACCACTACACCACACTGCAGGGGTGCCGACTTGAATAAAATATGGGGGGGGGCAGGTAATCACCGCATAACCAATCACATGATGTGGAACACACACCATTTGAATGGTTGTTGTTGTTGTTTAGTCGTTTAGTCGTGTCCGACTCTTCGTGACCCCCTGGACCAGAGCACGCCAGGCACTCCTGTCTTCCACTGCCTCCCGCAGTTTGGTCAAACTCATGTTTGTAGCTTCGAGAACACTATCCAACCATCTCGTCCTCTGTCGTCCCCTTCTCCTTGTGCCCTCCATCGTTCCCAACATCAGGGTCTTTTCCAGGGAGTCTTCTCTTCTCATGAGGTGGCCAAAGTTTTGGAGTCTCAGCTTCAGGATCTGTCCTTCCAGTGAGCACTCAGGGCTGGTTTCCTTCAGAATGGAGAGGTTTGATCTTCTTGCAGTCCATGGGACTCTCCAGAATCTCCTCCAGCACCATAATTCAAAAGCATCAATTCTTTGGCGATCAGCCTTCTTTATGGTCCAGCTCTCACTTCCGCACATCACTACTGGGAAAACCATAGCTTTAACTATACAATTTGAATGGCAATTCCCATCAACTTGGGGGGGGGGTAGCACCCTCAAATATTTTAGGGGGGGCGAAAGGACCTCAGCCCCTAGGAGTTGGCTCTTACGCCACACTGGAAGCAAATATTTGGGTTAGTTAGCTAAGGGTGCTGGGAGCTGTAGCACGTTGGCAGGGGCGAACTACAGTTCCCAGGATTTATTTGGGGGGGTGGAGATGTGGAGGGAGCCATGTGCTCCGAACGGGCGCTGGAGATGGGGCCCTTAAACTAATTCCAGCTGCCTGCCTCTCCCCCCAGAGGGAAAAAAATCCACCTTAAATCCCAACGCGTTCGCCCTTTGTGCCGTCAGGGGGCGCTGCCGCCCCGCTCCGACCAAGCCGATTCTTTCCCCCTCCCAGGTTGCAAATAGCTTCCTGCTGCTGGGAGCGGATCATGGATGCTGCTGTTGCTTCAATTGTTCCACCATGGGTGAGTGCAAGAGATCTCCCTTCCCGCTAGCCTGGGACACGTGGGCGGCGATTAGGAGTGTGGTGGGGCGGTGGGGGGGGGGTCCTCGCCCTAGCTTTGCAGTCCCCTGTGGGGTCCGCTGCGTGGGAGATTCGGATCTCCAGGCGGGGGACGGGGGACGGGAGACTAGCGGGCCCTTCTCCCTTGCCCTTCCTTGGACCTTTGCAAAAATAGATATATAGATATATAGATATATCTAGGGGGCACACACATACACGCTTGCAGATCCTGCCCTTCTTACGGGGGGTCGCTGCGGGGGGGGGGGCTAGCCAAATAGCTGCGCTTTTTTGCAGGATCCCTTCTGAGGTGCTGCAAAAAAAAAACCCCGCCGCAAACATTGGGGCTTCCCTCTCTCTGGAGCGCGCAGGATCGCACCGTTGCATTAGGCTGGGATGGGAGCAATTCGCGCCGGGGACATAAAAGGATTCCCTGGCTGAGCGTTGCAAAATATGGATCAGGCGCCTGGAGGCGTGAAGGAGAAGCGAGTCGCCTTGGGGGCAAAGGAAGAGGCTGGGATCTCCTCGATCTGCGATGGCGCCCTGCGTTGGGGGGCAGAGGAATGCTGCGGAAAGACTTGCGGGTGGAGAGGCCGGTGAGCTTAGGAAGGAGTGCCTGGGAGAACGGGGGCCAGCAGGGGAAGTGAAATAGGGAGGTCGATCTTTTTCCTTGTTTACCATCACTTGGGAGAGGTAATGATCACGCTCTGACACTTCAGCGCTGTAGATCTATAGATCTATGTGTATACATAGGCATTGCACATCAGTTGTGAGATTGCAATTGGTTTATTTTGTATTGCTGGGAACTGCCCTCGGACCTTCTGGTGGCTGTTATTTTTAATCATATGTGCATTTATACAATGCCTTTCGGCCTCCCACGGGACTCAAGGCAGCTCACAGGAGGCAATAAGAACCACTATCAACGGTTAAAAAACAATTAAACCTTGATAGAATTAAAGCTCTATACAAATATATGAAACGTCTTTTGATAATGATGATAAGGAAATTGGGTGTGCTGGCCTGGAATCGCCCCAGCGAATAAATCGCAGACGGTGTTAGCTGTTTTCGATTTCTGGTACAGTAAAATAAGTTTTTTGTTAATACCTTGAAGACTAAATGATTATATTACAGCAAAACATTTGTGGATCCAAGCCCAGTTTCTCAGAGGTAAAAAAGCATTATCCTCAATTTGCAGACAGAGAAAGAGAGAGAAAATTGATGCTGGTTCATTTTCCAGAATCACCCCCTCCCCCCTGCAACTAAATCAATTAAGACCTGATTTAGGATGTTTGACTTGCATGTAGTAAGTAAAACTTACAAAAAGTTCAATTAAATTAACACCATGTGAATTTTATGTGCTGTGTAAATCTCAGAAGCTTTTCCAGTAGCGAAAAGAATTGGAGCTGAATATTTCAAATCAACAAAGCCCATTTAAGGAGCTTCAAGTGTTATTACTCAAGCAAATTCAAAGCTTTTACTTGGAAAGTTATTTTTTATTGAGATAGGACATATTTTAAGGCATGGTGTTTGCTGGGGGTGGGGAAGTGACAGCGCTGAAAACGGTTAGCATACTAATTTTAGCATGGCCAAAGAGCTCTTGACATAAGCGCATGAGCTTCTTAGGGAAAAGTCACCTTAAAAAACCACATTAGTGATCACTTTCATTCTAGGTTTGAATGGCATCCTATTCATTCCAGTCACTCAGTTTGTCTCAGTGTGTTCGTTATGCTACGAATTCATTTTCTGAAACGGTGTGTTTCAAAAAGTGCGGGGGCTGTCTTCGCTTCCAGTCCCCTGATTTAGGGCTTTAAAGGTAATGACCTTGATTTGTGCCTGGAAACAAATTTTTTTTAAAAATTTTTGCCTGCTGTAAGAAAAATAGAAACTGCCTTACACTGACTCAGACTTGTTGGGTACATCTAGTTCAGCACTGCTTACACAGACTGGCAGCAGCTCTCCAGGACTTCAGGCAGGGTCCTTTCTCTACTTGAAGATGCCATTAGAGGTTGCACCTTGAACCTTTTGCATGCATCAGTCAGGGTTTAGGCCCAGTTTTGGCACAGAAACTGCTTGGCTTGCCCTGTATGATGACCTCTGTTGGGGGGGATGTGTTCCTATTAGGTAAAGGTAAAGGGGACCCCTGACCACTAGGTCCAGTCGTGGCCGACTCTGGGGTTGCAGCGCTCATCTCCCTTTATTGGCCGAGGGAGCCAGCGTACAGCTTCCGGGTCATGTGGCCAGCATGACTAAGCCGCTTCTGGCGAACCAGAGCAGCGCACGGAAACGCCGTGTACCTTCCCGCTGGAGCGGTACCTATTGATCTACTTGCACTTTGACATGCTTTCGAACTGCTAGGTTGGCAGGAGCAGGGACCGAGCAACGGGAGCTCACCCTGTCGCAGGGATTTGAACCGCCGACCTTCTGATCGGCAAGTCCTAGGCTCTGTGATTTAACCCACAGCGCCACCCGCGTCCCTACTTACTCTTACAAAGCTCTTACTATGGTATAATTGTAGAGTTGGAAGGTACCATGAGGGTCATCTAGTCCAACCCACTGCAATGCAGTAATCTTCTACCCAGCATAGGAATCAAACTCCTGACCCTGAGATTAAGAGTCCCATGCTTTACCAACTGAACTGCCCCAGCAGTCAATTAACCCATTTCCTTTTTATTTGAGAGCCCTTTTGAAAACCTTGCTTAGAAGCCAGATATTTTGGACTACATCTCCCATCAGCCCCAGCCGGCCATGAAGGCTAAGGCAAAGTCTTCTCTAGCTACTTCCTTGTAGATTCCAGATGACTGTGCAAAGAAGCGCCTAGATTTGCTCAGGCCACGCCTATCCCCGCCTCCAGAAGTCGAGACTATGCTTCCGACAGTCTCCTTCTATCTTAGGCAACACACTCTTGAGCGGTTAAACCACGCCGGTCCTGACAAACCAGTCTCCTTCATCTCTGCTCCTCAGCAGATTCAACAGGATGCCCGTAAGTACAGCTCATTCCTTCCGCAAATGGAACGGAGGAGTCTCAGTGCCTTCTTTGTATTCGCCCTAGACGCTGGGCAAACACACTGCAATGCTGGACTTTCCTACTTTGGGAAAGAAGGAGTGGTACAGGGGCTCTAAGCCATTCTGAAAGCCGGAGAGGGGAAAGGGAAGTCAATACTGCAAAAGCGAAACCTTTGCTCTACTGCTGGAGTTTTAAGGCAGCTTCAGTCCTAGTGCAATTTTTTTATCGTGGGACGGGACCTCCTTCTCAAGCCCCAACCATCCAGCTTCACGTTGGTTTCGTTTGGCAGGACCCATTCGCCCACTCCTGCGAAGCCCTCGTACGCAGAGTGTCCAAATTTAACCTTGACAGAATCATAGAATTAAAAGAGTTGGAAGGGACCCCGATGATCGTATGCCGTTGTCCTGTACGGGGATCGAACCTGCAACCTTGACGTTATCAGCACCGTGCTCTAACCAACTGAGCTCTCCAGGCAGCTATTGGCTTTTAGTTGTCTTTTTCTATTGCTTCTTTCCTTTCTTATATTGCGCCTTACTGTATTATGGTTCGAATGCTGCAGAATGCATGCTGGGTTTTTATGCTTCTGACAATCCCGTAAGGTAAGCTAGGGGGAGAGAGAGAGAGAGACTGGTCCGAGATTACCCAGTGAGCTTCGTGGCCGTGTGAGGATTCGAACTCTGGTCTCCCAGGTCCTAGTCCGACGCTACAATCACTACACAACGCTGGCTGTTGGAGCTGGGCAGAGGAATGCCTCTGCTTTATCCCAGGTGTAAGTGGGATTTGGCGTAACTCTGCCCCTCCGCAATGATCACCCACACCCAGTGAAGGTGTCGGTTTTTAGCAGGAAGCACCTAACTCTTTGCTCCTGCCGCATCGCTTTCACCCCGTTGCAGGAATTTTTAAACCTGTTGACCTTTTAATCTGGAGGGAGGGCTGTGTGTGAGAAAGCGAGGCCAGGCTAATCCTGTTGAGTAACTTTGCATACAGACGCGCCCTTCCTTTCTTCCTTCCTCGAATAGCAAAATAAACGTGCTTTCTGCAACGTAGGTGAGACTAGCAATTATGGAACCGGCACCTAGACTGTTCACTTCTGTGCTGTGGCAACAGCTGTAGCCAACGCTGACTCATGCTTTGATCCGCTCCAGACCTGTCCTTACATTTCCTGAGGGCGCTCTGGCGGGCTTGATTCTTGTGTGATTTATTCAAGACTTCCTCTTGCATTCTCTCCCCCTGCCCCCACTTCCAGGGCTGACTCCTAAGGATGCCCAGAGCCGCAGTGAAGCTCATAGTCACCGGAGATGACTTTGGCTACTGCCCAAGAAGAAACCAAGGCATCGTGGAGTCTTTTCTCTCCGGCGGCGTGTCCAACGTGTCCCTCCTGGTGAACGGCAGCGCTGCGTCCGATGCAGCACAACTGGCGAGGAGGTGAGAGCACCCTTGCTTTCTGTCTCTTGCTCTCACCCAGGCGTCTGTCACGCATTAAATCGAGCATGACTACTAGCTTGGTGGTGGAGCCCATGCTTTGTTTAGAGCAGGTCCTGGGCTCAAATCCTGGCATTCCCAGTTAAAAGGCTTCAGAATGAATGAATGAATGAATGAATGAATGAATGAATCTCTATTTGCGTCAGCCATCAGCCGTAGCAGTAAAACGGCAATACAATATACAAAGAATAGAAATAAAAAGTCAATTATATAAAATACATTTTAGGGTTTTGAATCGATAGTCAAGTAGTGGATCTTATTCTGATTGCCCCAGCTAAAAACCTTGCAAGCTTTGCTGCCACCTGCTCATCTTGATCTGCCAAGAGAAAGGACACTGTGGCAGTGGCTGGGCGACCCGGAATGGACAATATAAGAGGGGTGATAATGTCATTCCTCAAGTCTTTATAAAGAGTGCAAGCCATCAATTTGGTACTGCCATCTCCACAGGGACATAAGCGTTTTTTGTGTGGAATCTGTAGGAATCGTCCCTCAAGTACAGCCGAGGGCAATACATTCAATCTCGAGAGAGTAAAAGCGCGTCTATATTTTGGAATTGCTAGGTGATGCAGAGAGGGTGCCAGAGATTCGAAATGGGAAGGTGGAAAATAGTCATATCATGGGCAAAATTTCCTTATTGTGGCCAAGTTGTTCTGACGCTCGATATCATTTAGGCGTGGGCAAAATAGACTGTTTGCTTTACTAAAACCCAAAGTGAGTAGCTGTTGTGGTGATAAACCACAAGAGTGAAGTTTTTGACAGACGGTTTTAGTCCAGGCGCTCTTGTGACAATCTTGCAGCACTGGGGACATTAGACCAGGGGGGTTTGAGTTTAGGCGAAGCCAATAGTTAAGTGTCCTACGCCAGATCCGTAATTCTACTGAGGGAAGATTAGCCTCTAAGGTGCAATGATGCATTTGGGACACAGGGTGGTACAGAGAAAATTTGCCTTAAGAACTATGATTGGACAGCATCAGTAGATCCAAGGTGAGTGAAAAGGCTTCAGAGCTTCAGAGTTCTGCCACGTGAACATGGGGCTTTTTAACCACTGAGAAAGAAGCCTTCTCCCCCTTTGTGCTGACTGGCGCCTAACAGAGTGAAAGGAGTAGAGTCGGCCACTGAGGATTGGCTCTTAGGGTCAGTCTGGCACAAGAAGAGCACTGAGGAGTTGTTCTGTGTGCTCCAAAGCGAAGCGTTTAGGAACACTGAGAACACAAGGGGCTTCCGTTTCGAGAGAATGTTGTGCAAGATCTGCCACTTGCAATGGAGCTTCAGGGAAAACACAACTTAAGTCGCCTCGAAAGGAGATATTGGAGTAGTCTAAATCAGTTGCCGGTGTATGTGCACAGAAAATAATAAGGTAGATCCACCTTAAAGGCAACACCTAGAGTTCAGCTGCCAGCCAGTGCAGACAACACTGGGCTAGATGGATCATTGGTCTGGCTCGGGATAAGGCAGATTCCTATCCCTGCCTTGTCGCTTATATGCACAGTACGACTCTGCAGTCTGCAGAGAGTGCTTCACCTGCAGGAAACACCATCAGAGCACTCCTGACATATGGTTGTCAAGCCTCTGCTTAAAGACCTCCAAAGAAGGAGACTCCACCACACTCCTTGGCAGCAAATTCCACTGTCGAACAGCTCTTACTGTCAGGAAGTTCTTCCTAATGTTTAGGTGGAATCTTCTTTCTTGTAGTTTGGATCCATTGCTCCGTGTCCGCTTCTCTGGAGCAGCAGAAAACAACCTTTCTCCCTCCTCTATATGACATCCTTTTATATATTTGAACATGGCTATCATATCACCCCTTAACCTCCTCTTCTCCAGGCCAAACATGCCCAGCTCCCTTAGCCGTTCCTCATAAGGCATCGTTTCCAGGCCTTCCAACTCTATGATTCTAAGTTTCAAAGGTCTCAGGAGCCTGTTCTGCACAACTAAGTGCAGTGCTTTTAGTGCGGCTACTCCTGATCTGTGAAATAACATCCCTTTTGAGATATGATAGGCGCTCACAGTCTACACTTTGAAGCTATGTTCTGACATGCTTTTCCAGTTGAATGAATAGGTCTCTGCCATGGGTACCTTTGTGTGTGTGTGTGTGTGTGTGCGCGCGCATTGGGTTTTTTGTATTGTTTTTAAACTGATTTTTAAGCTGCTTTTATTGTACACCACCTTGAGACACATATGTGCAAGGCCAAAATAATAGTAAAAATAACAAGGGTAATAATGACAAATATAGTGGTACCTCGGGTTAAGTACTTAATTCGTTCCGGAGGTCCGTACTTAAGCTGAAACTGTTTTTAACCTGAAGCACCACTTTAGCTAATGGGGCCTCCTGCTGCTGCCACGACGCCGGAGCACAATTTCTGTTCTCATCCTGAAGCAAAGTTCTTAACCTGAAGCAATATTTCTGGGTTAGCGGAGTCTGTAACCTGAAGCATCTGTAACCTGAAGCGTATGTAACCCGAGGTACCACTGTAACAACAGCTAATAAAGCTCTGCTATTTTAGGGCTGGAGACCGTGGCAGGGGAAACCTTAAGTGCCACCCACGGCCTTTTCGATGCTCTCCTCTTTTTGAAAGCAGCCGACGGCCTTTACCGGCACACTTTTTGTAAATATAGAAAACACCTGGCCCCGTTTCTGATTACAAGCCCTGCTGAGTCCGGCCCACGAGGCCGCGTGACTCCAGTCTGAAACGGCTTCTTCGAATCCAGGTCAGAGCCTTCGGAGTGGCGGCAGCTTTTGTGCACTATCTCAGCCACTCTAAGAAGCTGGTTTTCCTTCCTAGCACGCCGGCCCCCTCTCTTGGCTTTTCCTACCTTGAGACTCTAATGCAGGGAGCCAGAGAACATATGCAGATCCTGCCTTGGACACTTAATTAGGTTATGCGTGAGTAATTAACAATTCCTGCCAGCACTTACGCATGCGAGATATCGCACCGCGGATGCGAGCTTAACCTTGTTACGTCGGCACCTGTAGGTCCCGTAGCCTCGGTTTAGGAGAGCAGCTCAGATCTGGGTCACACTTTTTTTGCTTACTCCTCTGATAAATATCGTCGTTGAAAGCCAGCACCTTAATCCTTTTAACAGTCTCTGCTGACTAAAAGGATTGTCCCTGCGTGGGCGTTTGCTGCTATAAATATTCCTGGGTTATCGGCCACCTACGGAGGGTTTCCTTCATCCCCGGGCCTATTACATAAATTAGAAGCCAGGGCTGGTTTGAAATAAATACTCTGTTGTTTTTTCTCCAAGGGCAAGGCCCTTTATCTTGAGCTGTCCTTTAAACCAGGGGTGGCTAAGCACCCGATTCGGCCCCTAAGCAGATCCTGCAAAATAAAAAAAATGAACTGGGCCAGGTGGTTGCCAAGGTTGGGAAGCTAATAATAATAATAATAATAATAATAATTTATACCCCGCCCTCCCCAGCCAAGGCCGGGCTCAGGGCGGCTAACAAGCAATAATAAAAACAAGTTGAATGAATACAACTTAAAAACAAGATTAAAATACAACATTAAAACATTGAAACATTAAAATGCAGCCTCATCACAGGAGGAGAAAGGAAAAAGGAAGAGGGGGAGGGAATCAAATTGGCTCCAAGCCAAAGGCCAGGCGGAACAACTCTGTCTTACAGGCCCTGCGGAAAGAAATCAGATCCTGCAGGGCCCTGGTCTCATGAGACAGAGCGTTCCACCAGACCGGAGCCAGTGTTGAAAAGGCCCTGGCTCTGGTTGAAGCCAATCTAACTTCCTTAGGTGTTGTTATTTATGGACCTTGAGGCTCTCCGTGGGGCATACCGGGAGAGGCAGTCCCGTAGGTACAAGGGTCCTAGGCCATGAAGGGCTTTTTTTTGCAGTCTGAGGTCCACATTCCATCCTAGGCAACCTTCCCAGGGCCGGTGCTGGGTGGAGCCAAAGGCAAAAGTGGATGGAGCAATACCTTTTTACCTTTGTGCAGTGGGCTGATTTCTTCACACTCACAGGTCCCTCTCTGTTCTCCCATCTAGGCAATCGAGAAAGCACAACTGGAGTCCAAGGGCACATTCTGCACCACAAAGCCTCACGTAATCGAATTTTTGTTGTTGTCCTGCTTTTAATCCCCAACACTACAGGTTTAGACAGTGGTACCTCAGGTTACATACGCTTCACCCAGAAATAGTGCTTCAGGTTAAGAACTTTGCTTCAGGATGAGAACAGAAATCATGCGCCGGCGGCAGCAGGAGGCCCCATTAGCTAAAGTGGTGCTTCAGGTTAAGAACAGCTTCAGGTTAAGTACGGACCTCCGGAACGAATTAAGTACTTAACCTGAGGTACCACTGTAGTTCAAAAGTCTACAAACAGCCACAGGTATCAGAGATTTCTCCAGGGTCAACAAGTTCATATCGAAGTGTTTCCAACATCACACCTCTAGTACAGTGGTTACATACGCTTCAGGTTACACACTCCGCTAACCCAGAAATAGTGCTTCAGGTTAAGAACTTTGCTTCAGGATAAGAACAGAAATTGGGCTCCGGCGGCGCGGCGGCAGCAGGAGGCCCCATTAGCTAAAGTGGTGCTTCAGTTAAGAATAGTTTCAGGTTAAGAACGGACCTCCAGAACGAATTAAATACTTAACCCGAGGTGCCACTGTACTAAACAATGCCTTCCTGTGAAAATGTTGAGAAGTCCAAAATACCCAAAACACTGGGGGGGTTTTTTGGTGTTTTTTTTGCTGGATCAACCTCAGTTTTAAATGTAGGAAAGCACTGTCTGTAGTGTTAAGTGTAGCTCTGAAGAAAACAGAGGTATTTCTTACCCATCTCGCAAGGATGTTTAGGAACCAACAAGCTTCTGCGCTGAAAGATACAATACAGTCTCTCCCTGCAAACCCATCAGTCACAGGAACGTGGTGTGTTAGTGAGAGCTGGAAATTAACTGGCAGTTTTGAAATATATCCTCCCTAGGTATCACATTCCAATAGGGCTCCATGCCAACCTTTCTGAGGGCTCTCCTGTTTGTCCGGCGTTGAAAGCGAAGTCCACATTGCTCAACGAAGAAGGGTTTTTCCACGGAAAGATGGGGATCCGGAGAGCGTTAGCCGATGGTCTCCTGAACATGTCTGAGGTAGGAAGACACGCATACAGGGCTTTGCTTGCTAGCCCTGGTGGTATCGACTGTGGGAGAAACCATGTGGTGCTTATTATTATTATTATTTGAAATAGTTTTTATTTGATTTTGCAAGTATAAAATTATAACAATACCACCATACGTTTCCACATTTGCAGATTCTATTCTTTTCTACTGCATCTTTTCCAATAATCCATATTTTATATCATCCCATTGTCTCCATTGCTACATTACAAGTGTTATTGTAATCCTGCTAGTGTTTTCATCTGCTTACAGTGGTCTCCAAGATAAATTATATCCCCCCCCCCGCCAATTCTTAGTTAAAGTTCTGGTCTTCTTGAGTCCTGAGCTTCCTGCTCAGTTTTGCCATTTCGGCATAGTCCAACAATTTGATTTGCCATTCTTCTCTGGTAGGGACTTTATGTTCTCTCCATCTCTGGGCTAATAACTTCCGGGCGGCTGTCATGGCATACATAAAAAGTCTTTTCTGCTCCTTTGGAATATCTGCACCTATAATTCCTGATAAAAAATCCTCTGTTGGCTTTTTGTTGTTGCAAAAGTTAATTTAAACTTTTTTTTATCTCATTATATATAATTTCCCAGAATGCTTTTATTACCTTAGAAGACCACCATTAAACTTAGGCAGAAAGTTAATAACTAAAGCCCACTTTAAGCTGTCTTTGACCTTACCTGCCCACACCTGACATTATGTCTGACATCAGGTGTAGGGGCAGGTGGCCAAGGCTACCCCAAAACACCTTCACAGGACAGTGGGGAGGTCTGTTGGGCCAGGTTTGGGAGATCCTTGGTGTTGAACCATGGTGAGATAAGTGGACCATGCGCATGCATGCACATTTCAGCGTACATGGAAGTTTTGTGTCATCTCAAATAAGATTTTATTTAGTATTGTTCTTATTTTGAATTACAGGGGTGGGGGCCCTCTATACCTGAAGTAGCGTCTCCACCCCCATCATTCAGCCCAGACCCTCAGGTCCACCACTGAGGGCCTTCTGGTGGTTCTCTCACTGTGAAAATGAAATTACAGGGAACCAGACAGAGGGCCTTCTTGGTAGTGGCACCCACTCTGTGGAATGCCTTCCGGGCAGATCTGAAAGAGTTAAATAATTATGTAGTATTTCGTAGGCAGTTCCCTCCTTGCAAGAAGTGAAGTTACAGGGAACCAGGCAGAGGGCCTTCTTGGTACTGGCGCCCTACCTGTGGAATGCCTTCCTGGAAAATCTGAAAGAATAATTCTATAATTTTTCTGTAGGTGTTTTTCTGTTTGGTGAAAGTTTTAATGTTTGCTGTCGTTGTTCCTGTACTTTTGCAGGAAGTTGCCCGGAGTGGCTGCGGCAACCCAGTCAGTGGCGTATAAGAAAAATAAGTTATTAATTTATGTAAATTTCCAGTGCTTAGAGCCTCTGAACATCTCCATCTGGCCCTGCTTCTTCACATGTTTTTTGTTTTTGTTTTCTAAATGAAGGGCGTCTTCTTCATATAGACGGCAACTCTCCTCACCTGCCCTCCTTTCCTTTTACATTCCCAGGTGAAACACGAACTAACTGCGCAGGTTGACTTGTTCCGTGAGCTCACAGGTCACCTGCCTCAACACATGGACGGACACCAGCATGTTCACGTCCTCCCAGGTAAGGCAAATCCACACCTTAGGCAAGGATGAAACACCTTTTCCACCCTGCGGGGCCGCATGTCCGGATTTTTATCTTGCCGCACGCACCTTCTCCTCTCCATTCAGGGGAGCAAGAGGCCTGGTCCGAGTTCCAGGACACATTCCAGTCAGGCAGAGGTAAAAAAAGGTAACAGACTCCTGGAAAGTTAAGTGCAGTCCATAGCTGTCAACTTTTCACTTTTCTTGTGAGGAATCCTATTCGGAATAAGGGAATTTCCCTTTAAAAAAGGGAAACGTTGACAGCTATGGTGCAGTCAAAGGTGACTACAGTGATACCTCGGGTTACAGACGCTTAAGGTTACAGACTCTTCAGGTTACACACTCCGCTAACCCAGAAATAGTACCTCGGGTTAAGAACTTTGCTTCAGGATGAGAACAGAAATCGTGCAGTGGCAGCGGGAGGCCCCATTAGCTAAAGTGGTACCTCGGGTTAAGAACATTTTCAGGTTAAGAGCGGACTTCCAGAGCGAATTAAGTTCTTAACCTGAGGTACCACTGTATGGCGTTGCGGCGCTCATCTCCCTTTCAGTCCGAGGGAGCCGGCGGTTGTCCGCAGACAGCTTTCTGGGTCATGTGGCCAGCAGGACTAAACCGCTTGTGGCGCAATGGAGCACCGCGACGGAAACCAGAGCGCACAGAAAGGCCATTTACCTTCCCGCCGCAGCGGTACCTATTTATTTACTTGCACTGGTGTGCTTTCAAACTACCAGGTTGGCAGGAGCTGGGACAGAACAACAGGAGCTCACTCAGTGGTGTTGATGGGATTCAAACTGCCAACCTTCTGATCGGCAAGCCCAAGAGGCTCTGTGGTTTAGACCACAGCGCCAACTACATCCCTAGTCAGCCAGAAACAGGGAAGAAAGGTCGTGGTCTGGGGAGAGGGCGCTTGGGCTTGGAAAGGAAACAAGCCCTGGGGAGAGAGTGCCAAGGACCACACAGACAGGCTTCTGGACTCAAGGCCAGTTCCCTCTCTAGCCCTAAGGACATAGCCTCCCCCCCCATGCCTTAGATGATGGGGGCTCTATGACACTGAAGGACTGGAAGCCCCCCCGTTCTCCCGCACCTCCCCGGGGCTTGAGCTCACAGTTTGCAGGCAGCTGCCTCGGGTCAGGTTACCTGCCCTGCTAAGGTTGCCTTAAGCCTGGTGGGAGTCTATTTCTCCCCCCCCTTTTTTAATACGTCTTTATTAAATTTTATTGAATATTACAAGAAAATAAAAGAAAAAAAGAAATAGAAACAATACATAAAAACATTTATCTACGCATTTTTCAAAATGCAGATTAGAAAAGAGATGAAAGATAAGATGAAAAGAAACAAGAAAAAGAAAGAAGAGAAAAAATACTTTCCATAACCAAAATACCAAATTCATATTTGAAACATTTTCAGTATATAAATCCTAGTTAAAATATTATAACAGACTTCCACCACATTCACCACACGTCTCTTGGTTATCTAGTTCACCTTAACATCTGTTCTTCAATTGCAATCCATCAATTCTTTGTATTCTCTATATTCTTCACAAGGTTAGTCTGAGCACAACCAAACTTTCATATTTTTGAGCCCTGTTTGTGTAAATATTCATTTAAGCATTCCCATTGTTTCTGTACCATAGTTTTAGATTTATGCCTTATTACGTCCGTCAATTTGGCTAACTCCAGATACTTGCATAATTTACCGTATTTTTTGCTCTATAAGACTCACTTTTTCCCTCCTAAAAAGTAAGGGGAAATGTGTGTGCGTCTTATGGAGCGAATGCAGGCTGCGCAGCTATCACAGAAGCCAGAACAGCAAGAGGGTTTGCTGCTTTCACTGCGCAGCGATCCCTCTTGCTGTTCTGGCTTCTGAGATTCAGAATATTTTTTTTACTGTTTTCCTCCTCCAAAAACTAAGTGCGTCTTGTGGTCTGCTGCGTCTTATAGAGCGAAAAATACGGTACTTAACCATTCCCTTTTGGTTGGGATATTATTTTCTTTCCAGTAACTGGCCACCAACATTCTCGCTGCTGTTGTTGCGAGAATCTATTGGGAGTCTATTTTGTTGCTTCGCCAGCTCAAAGAGCAGGTGCTCCAGTCACAATTGGAGAGCAGCCTTGTCTCTCGCGGTACCCTGCAGTGCCGCAGTCTCAGCGCTTGGGAAGCTGGTTTAAGAATGGATCTGGTTCCAGTTCCATCTCACTCACACCCATCCCCAAAGGAGCTCTTTCTGTTCCCATTCAGTCCGCAGTTCACCCGCAGTGGTTCTCTGTATTCCTGTCCTATCCACCCCCACACCCAGGATGCTGCCTTCAGGATATTACAAGCTGTTCTGCCATGGTACAAAATGATATAGAATAAGAGTACAAGAAGAACATAACATTGAAGACTGGGAAATGTTTATTGGATATATGGGAAATAATTGTGCACAGCTGAAAGCGCTGGCAGCATTAAGATGAATTCAGCAGTGTAAATAAGTTCTGATGGATGCGATAATGGAATACTGAATGGTATAGTTTTTGTAAAATATGCAGGGATTTACGGAATGTAAAATGAACCATGGTAAGAGAAGAAGGGGAAGCCTTTGATATCTTAAGGATGTAAAAATTAGTACAGAGGTACCTCGGGTTAAGTACTTAATTCGTTCCGGAGGTCTGTACTTAATCTGAAACTGTTCTTAACCTGAAGCACCACTTTAGCTAATGGGGCCTCCTGCTGCTGCCACGCCGCCGGAGCACAATTTCTGTTCTCATCCTGAAGCAAAGTTCTTAACCCGAGGTAATATTTCTGGGTTAGCGGAGTCTGTAACCTGAAGCGTATGTAACTCGAGGTCCCACTGTATTTTAAATTGGAAAACAGAAAAATTAATAAAACTTATATAAAACAAAACAAAATGATACTTCAATCCCAAACACTGAGACCTTGCAGCTTGTAAAGGCTTAAACTAAGAGAAAGAGAGTAATTCAGTCCCCAGAGTTAAAGTGCCATTTTATATATTTATATTTATTTACCTTATTGCATTTATAGCCCCCCGCTTCTTCTCCAGGGAGCTCACAGTGGTATACGTGGTTCTCCCCATCCTCATTTAATCTGCCACAACAACCTGGCGAGGGAGGTTAGGCTGAGAGGCAGAGATTGTGGCCCAAGGTCGCCCTGTGAGCTTCATGGCTGAGTGGGGATTTGAATTCTGGTCTCCCAGGTCTTAGACCGACACTCTAACTGAGGGTGGCCCAACTTTCCTTTTTTAATATAAATTTTATTTTTCCATTTTCTATTTTACATAACCAAACGAATGAAAAACATAGGCATATAAAAAAGCAAAGGAAACAAAACAACACTAAACAAAAACGAAAAAGCACACATCTACAGAAAAAAACCATATCATTACGTACATATACACATATTGACTTCCTTTGTTCTAAGACCTCAGAAATTTTACTCTTACTATATTGTCGTGTCTGGTTAGATTACATCCATCTTTGTACTTTTTTTTTTTTAAAAAAACACACCATTTCCCCCCCTTTAACCCTGTAAAGTATCATTCATTACATACCAATATACTTATTCCAATGTTTTTCATATACTCTTTAGCACAACCCTATTCTTTTAATAATTTCTGGTCCGATTGTCCCCTTATGAATGCTGTGAGTCTTGCCAGATTTATGTATTCCAATGTTTCCAAGTCTTGAGGGCTGCATGTGGTCCTTGGGCCATGCATTGGACTACCCTGCTCTAACCACTGCACCACACTGGTTCTCCATGACAGCACCATGCCTACAGCTCCCAGAATTCTCTGGGGGGAAAGCTACGGCTGTTTGTAAACAGCCGTAGCTTTCCCCCCAGAGAATTCTGGGAGCTTTTAGTTGTTAAGGGTGCTGAGTGCTGTTAGGAGGCCCCTATTCCCCTCACAAGAGCTACAGAGGGCTTTTCACAGTCAGTTCCTCTTCCCAGGAGCAAGAGAGCAGAGCCGGTAATGGACTTGGACTCAAAAGAAAATATGCTCTTTTTTAAATGCCTGTACTTCTTTGGAGAAGGGGTGCGGGTGGCGCTGTGGGTTAAACCACAGGGCCTAGGGCTTGCCAATCAGAAGGTCGGCGGTTCGAATCCCTGCAACGGGGTGAGCTCCCGTTGCTCGGTTCCTGCTCCTGCCAACCTAGCAGTTCGAAAGCACGTCAAAATCCAAGTAGATAAATAGGTACCACTCCAGCGGGAAGGTAAACGGCGTTTCCGTGCACTGCTCTGGTTCGCCAGAAGCGGCTTAGTTATGCTGGCCACATGACCCGGAAGCTGTACGCCGGCTCCCTCGGCCAATAAAGCGAGATGAGCGCCGCAACCCCAGAGTCGGCCACGACTAGACCTAATGGTCAGGGTTCCCTTTACTTTTACTTCCTTGGAGAGGGACTTTCTAGTAACCTTTTCTCTTCCAGAGATCAGAAACGTATTTGCACAGGTGCTGGAGGATTACGGGATCACCTATACTCGAGTCCCCATCGAGCCAGACCTTCCCCGCTGCGATTGGATAGACCCACACTTAATGGCCTTTTACCTGGGCGTGGAGAAGGACTCCCTAAACACAGTGGATGTGTTTAGGAAACACAGAATAAGGTGAGCACCCTGCACTTTGGAAACAACTCTGGTTTTTGCCAGTGCTTGGCTTTCTTGTCGGTTCCCGTAGTTTCCAGCTCACCGAGTGCCTTAAAGAGAGTTTCCGTTTATTACGGCCATAGTCCAGCATTTTAAAAAATGGCTAAAATACGATTATTATAAAAGCAAGATACAATCATTTTTAAAAACAAGCCAGAATAAGAGTAGGGAGACGAGAGAGTCACTGGCCAGCAAGTTAAAACAACTCAAATGATAACTATTACTAAAGTGGAAGACTGGGGAAGAAGAGTCATGTGTCCGAAACCCAAGATTTCATAAGCAGAATAGTCCTAGTGCCTCTAGAAGGCTTGGTGTGTCTTATAGAGAGAGCCTTCTCTTTGGGTGAAAGGGTTCAGAGACTAATTGCACAACTGATTTCCCCCCACCCCACCCCCAAAAATACAAATTCTTGCAAATATTGCAAATGGCAAACATCATCCCCAAAGAGGTATTCCCTTTCTCTAAGATTCTGCAACAACAAAAGCGTTCTTCCTCTAAAACATTGGGCAGTACCCACCCCCTTGAGGTGGGTGAGATTACCAATGGGTGGCGCTAATAGGCAAAGGGGCAGAGGGGGGTGGGGCGGGCACTGGAGGTGTTAAAAAGAAAAGAAAAAAGCTGGTATCACTAGATCATGTCTATCTGTTTTGTTGAATTAATTAAATGAAATTGTTTTAATTGGATTCTGAATAAATGTGCAATTAATTGTATAAAACAACAACAACAACAACAATAATAATAATGATGTATATAGTATGGGAATTGCCAGGGACGCGGGTGGCGCTGTGGGTAAAAGCCTCAGCGCCTAGGGCTTGCCGATCAAAAGGTCGGCGGTTCGAATCCCCGCGGCGGGGTGCGCTCCCGTTGTTCGGTCCCAGCACCTGCCAACCTAGCAGTTCGAAAGCACCCCGGGTGCAAGTAGATAAATAGGGACCGCTTACTAGCGGGAAGGTAAACGGCGTTTCCGTGTGTGGCTCTGGCTCGCCAGAGCAGCGATGTCACGCTGGCCACGTGACCCGGAAGTGTCTCCGGACAGCGCTGGCCCCCGGCCTATAGAGTGAGATGGGCGCACAACCCAAGAGTCTGGCAAGACTGGCCCGTACGGGCAGGGGTACCTTTACCTTTACCTTAGTATGGGAATTGTAGGCCAGAACATCTGGAAGGAACCAGGTTCTTCACCTTTCCGTCTCCCATGTATACTGCAGCCTCAGCAATGCCATCCCAGGAGACTGGAGTCTGGCAGCCATGATCAGTGAGCTACTAATCAGCCAAGTAAAACTGATGTGATTAATTAACCAAGATTCCATTAATCAACTGACAGCTCAAAGATGAATTCCCCTTCCCTTCTCCTACCAACTGTGATCTTTATGCCTCACAGCACGTTACAGAGCAGGAAGGGTCTGGCACCACGGCAATCTCAAAATTACAATATTTTGCTCCAAATAGATTGCATTTCATGATTGGGCAAAAAAACCAGGGGGGTGGAAAATGCTTGCTCCTTCAGCACTGCTTGTGCGATTAAACGCTCATCTTCCTCCTTTTGCAGGTGGCCAGATATATATATAGGCCTCAGCACCATGGGCAAAAACATGTCCATCGCCAACATCCTGGGGGCCATTGATAACGCTACAGCGGCTTACCTGCCGGAAGAAGATTCCTCCATTCCTCCTGGCTCGCCGTCATGCTCAGATCAAGAAACCAGAAGTGTAACCATTGAGCTGATGACGCATCCAGGATACCCTAGCGTCCCGCCAGTTGGGGGCTGCGGCGAGGGACCCGACGATTTCTCGCAGTCCTGGGAACGCTTGCACGAACTTGAGACGCTCAAGAAAGCAGAGTTGCAGAGCCACTACAGGACAAGGAACATCCAGCTCTGCGCATTTAAAGACCTTGGGATGTGATGCTGCAGTTGTTGCTGGCTGGGCTGGGCCAGGCTAAGCGTGATGCTGAGTGAGGTGCAGAGTTAAGAACCAACATCCCCCCCCCCAGTAGACCGCGTGGTGTGGCACAGAGGCTCCCTTTGCAAGGAGAGCTTCCACCCTTTGCAGCTCAGGACAGAGGTGGTGCCCCATTTTCACAGCACTGGGGAGCAGAAGTTGTATCCCTAGGAAGGGAAAGCTTGGACAGTAACAAGACCAGCAGGGTAGGATCTATAGAGAAGATGGTTTTGGAGCAGGAAAGATTGCATAGGAAACTATATGGGTCTGTCGTTGTGGGTTGGGTTTCTGGTTTGAACTCTGATATAGAAAAATACATATTTGGATCTGCCAATTCAACATGCTATTAGTCTACAGCAGGCATGGCCAATCGCAGGGTGTCTCTGGTTGATCACGGTATTCTGATCGATGGCCCCTCTCCCCCCATAAAGCTCAACAACTGTGGTCAATTCAATGGGTAGATCACTGCCAGTTTTTTTATAGTGGGAGTAGATCACGGTCTTCTGGAAGTTGGACGTGCCTGGTCTACAGATATTGGTCCATTATCCAGGGGATTCAAAGCAGGGAGTGTGTGAACTCAGCACAAAGCGTAAATAAACACTCTTCACTAAGGTCAGCCACCTGCCTCGCCAATAAAAGCTGAAGTGGACCACGTACATAAATTGTGGGGAATTGGCATCTGTGTCCTTAGTTCAGACAATTTATTTCGCTTTTTCTGGAGAGGCAAGGAGACACACGAGAGTCCTGATGTTAAATGCTAGCTTCACTGTCACAAGTTTGGAAATCTGGCTGCTGAACAAATTTGCAGGCTGCCAAATGTTGTGGGCAGTTGGGTTGGCGTAGAATGCTGTCAGCCGGTGTGTATGAAAAACACCACTTGCACCATGAGAATAGCGGACAGAATATGAAATGTACAAATCGATTTACTGGCACAATGGCAGAAATATTCCCGAAGGGTTCCATCTTGGGGAGCGGTGGGGTCCCCAGATCTAGGGTTGTGTGTTAGGAGCTTACATACACAAATAAGTCATTCTTTGCACAGACCTAGACCATAGGGGTCCATTGTTGCATATGATTTTAAAACAAGTGGCCCTGTGCCAATCATTTTGGAGGCCAACTGGGCTTAAAGGTAAAGGTACCCCTGCCCGTACGGGCCAGTCTTGACAGACTCTGGGGTTGTGCGCCCATCTCACTCTATAGGCCGGGGGCCAGCGCTGTCCGGAGACACTTCCGGGTCACATGGCCAGCGTGACAAAGCTGCATCTGGCGAGCCAGCGCAGCACACGGAAACGCCGTTTACCTTCCCGCTAGTAAGCGGTCCCTATTTATCTACTTGCACCCGGGGGTGCTTTCGAACTGCTAGGTTGGCAGGCGCTGGGACCTAACAACGGGAGCGCACCCCGCCGCGGGGATTCGAACCGCCAACCTTTCGATCGGCAAGCCCTAGGCGCTGAGGCTTTTACCCACAGCGCCACCCGCGTCCCTTATCCCAACTGGGCTTACCCACAAATTAAACGAAGGTTTCAGCACATGCAGGCGATGTGGAAACAAAATATTAACTCCCTCTTTTTAAAGAGGACTGTCCATGCTATAGTCACTGAACATCTGCATCCAGTCTGTTCTGGCTTTGAGATGGCCATCAGATCAACCCTTGGCTTGATATGGTTCTGTTCCTTGGAGTTATCCTTGGGACCAGACAGAACCAAAAGGCTGCCTTGGGTATGCGGACGGGTGGGATCCCCTAGTATCAGCTGACAACCAGCCGTACAGGAAGTGGGAGAAAGGGTGTGGTCAGTCATGTCTGGCTCCCAGTGAAACACCCCTGATCTCCTCCTGTCTCACTTCCCACTTATGTATCCCAATAGCCACCTCTTAAGCATAATCACGGGGTTTATGGTGTGCCAGGGGAAGGATAGTGCCTCTGGTGGGGGACACGTCATGGTTTGTCCACCTTTGGGGCATCACCCTACACCTAGCTCTCACCTGCAGCTCCTGGAAGCTATCAGCATGTGACAGCAGCCACACCCCAGGAACAGCTTGGACTGGCTAAACCAGGTGACTTCCCCCTGCATGCGAAGACTGGCTCTGGCGGACCGAATGGAGGAAACCAGTAATGGGTCCAAAGGTCAAGAAAGTGGTTTCTGCTCATGCTGTGGAGGGAAGTGAGGGACAGATGGGAAGGTAGCCCATCTAGGAAGAAAAGGCTACGGAGTAAACCCTACACAAATTCAGTGTAGAGCCCCTGAGAGGGTTGGATGGTGTCTTGGAACGCCTCCTTCTGACAACTCTTGCAGCCCAGCCAAGCGTATTGCTCTGCTTTCCTTTGGACCATATTGACGAGGCCAAGAGGGCGGGTTTTGTCATCTGGGCAGCCCAGGACCTCCATGCCAGGCTTGCACTCTGCAGAGGTCACTTCAGTGCTGCCAGCCTAGCTGTTTGACTTCGCCCCCCAGAGGCTCACTCCATTGTCTCTCGAGACAGACAGATGCCGGCAACAGGCACAATGATAGTTTCGACCCATTAAAATTGCTTCGGACCAGGCATGTCACGTTGTTCTGCTGAGGTTGCCATTGCAGTTCCATCATCAGGGTCACAATAAATTCGTATTTCCTTATTCTTTCTCAACATTCCCAGTTGTGGATTATTGTTGGGGTGGAAGTGGGGGCAAAGAACGGAAACAACCCAAGACTCACCGAATCTACTAAGTTGATACAGTGGTGCCCCGCAAGACGAATACCTCGCAAGACTGAAAACCCGCTAGACGAAAGGGTTTCCCGTTTGCGATGCGCTTCGCAAGACGAATTTCCCTATGGGCTTGCTTCGCAAGACGAAAACATCTTGCGAGTCTCGCCATTTCCCCCCCGCTTCCCCCCCTTTTTCAAAGCCGCTAAGCCACTAATAGCCTTTTAGCAGCTTAGCCGCTAATCCTTTAATAGCCGCTAAATCGCTAATAGCGCTAATCCTCTTAGCCGCTAATGGGGTTGCTTCGCAAGATGAAAAAACCGCTAGACGAAGAGAATCACGGAACGGATTCTTTTCGTCTTGCGAGGCACCACTGTAACAGGTTTTCCATAAGAGCCCTAAGGATTGTACACTGCAATCCTACGTATGCCCACTCAGAAGTAAATCTCACTGCTGGGACAAAGGAAGCTGCCTTACGCCAAGTCAGACAGCTGGTCTACCTAGCTCAGTATTGTCTGAGAACATCAAGAGCCCCGCTGAATCAGGCCAAAGTCCTGTCAAGCCTCCAACATGCCTCCAGAAAGTCCACAAGCAGTACCTGGGTGCAGTCATGCTCTGTCCTTGCGTCTTCAGGAACAGGGACTATTCAGACATACTGCCTTTGATACTGGAGGTAATATACTTTTGAATTACAGCTTGAATTTACAAGCTCTTGTCTTCCTCATTATTGCTTTCCCTTACACGCATCTTCACTAACTGCAGCAAATCTAGGGGCCTTAGTGCTGATGAAGCCTCTGGTGATTGGCTGAACTACCCTGACATCACAGAGGTGCAGGAAGCCCAAGATCCTTTGGCTAGCTCAGGTGAGCTGCTTCTGTTTGCCTAATTAGAAAGCTTTCTGGGTCTCTATCCCGCCCTGCATCACAAAGATGCTGTGAGAAGGAAGGGGAAGAGACCCGTCTACACTGTTTCAAGCTCCTCTGAGAAAAATAAATAGAATTCATGTTAGGGAACAGGTAGCCAGTTTTTGCTTGTTGTGAGCACAGTAGTCATCAAAAGCCCCAGAATAACCCAGTTTACAAAGATATTTCCCCTTTCTTTTTCAATCATGCCTCTGTGGATGAACTGAGATTACCGGTAACTCTTCCCAAATCTAGAAGCACGTGAAGCTGTTTTTGTTGATTCAGACAATTGGTCCATCTAGCTCAATATTGCCTACACCTGCTGGCAGTACCTCTCCAGGGTTTTAGAAAGTCTCCTGAGACTGTCTACATGCAAATAATAATCATTATTTAGAAGAAGGTGCTCAGTCACTGAGCTACAGCTGATGATGTGCTATCTTCTTGCCCATGAACATTTGTCTGTAATGGTCTTAAAAGGTGCTACAGGAATATTTGTGGCATTTACGTATTCATGTTACAAAACGAAACCTCGCATGACAACAGGATAGAGGGCATTAGAATTTAACCCAGACAGACACAGATTATTCTCCCCATCCTCTCTTCATACACCTTTGAAAGGATATTAACATTGAATTGTTGCACAGGGAGGGGAGGAAATAGAAGGACTTTAGCTTAATGTTTGCTTGGTGGAAAAGTTTTAACAAACCTAACACCAAGACCGAAAAGCCTACGTTAATAATAATAATAGTAATAATAATAAATGCAAGGGAAGTAAGCCATGCCACAAAGCCTTTGAGAGCATTTTTATTCAGGGTAGCAGAATGGAATTGCAAGAAAGCCTAGACCAATACAAGAAAAGGTGGTGTAGACTTGGATCTCAAAACGACAAGTTTAGAATTCAGCTTTGTTTGAAGAACCAGACAGAACCAGAAGAAAAAAGTGTGAACGCCTGAGTTGACATTGCATCGCCATAGTACTCTTCTTTCATGCATGCCTCAAATTACACTGCTCTACGGTGTATGGGGGGGCAGTCTTGTTGGCCAATGCAACCCCCACCCCACAACTGTGTGTAAAAGAAATGGGCCTTGGATTTGCAGGCTCCCGCTTCCCTCTAACTCCTGTCATTATGCATAGAAGTGAACCTCTTAATATCCAGGAGTAAGAAGACCATTTATCGGCTTTCAGGGACTGGGGTCGAGTGGGAAGAGAAGAATCTCTGGACTGGGTTCAGTGCTGCAAGAATTGGCCTTAGCCACTGAGGCCCTCCTCTTAGGAAAACTAGTTTAAATGGGACACCCCTTTGCAAGAAGCCCACCTGACCATCCGCTTTATGCACCTACAAAAACTCTTCCTTGCTGATTGGCAGGAGTTTGTGGGATCTTTTGAGAGGCACAGCTGAAGGCAAGGGGGATAATCTTGTAACTAAAGAAGTAGCAGCAGGATCTGAAGCCTTCCGGTTCTTGCGTGTTTTGAATTTTCTTCCATCAGATGCGGCCCAGCTGTTCTAGGGGAGAGTGGGAAGCCTTGCCTGAGAGAGCAAGGCGCTGAATGCAATTGCAGAAACAGTTTCCGTAACTGGGGAACCTAAAGTAAAATGTGCAACGCCGTGACTACAGAAACTGCTGTCATAAGACAATGTCTGCGCCTGCAGAGGTTCTGTGTCGTGTGTTAACATTCTCTGCACCGATGCATCTCTCAGGACAGATCCATTTCTAGCATGCGAACTAGCCTCTCAAACCAAGAACTGTTATACATTGCCTGATCTCAAGACGAGAGGTTAAAAACAGGCATGCCTCCATTCCTAGGTGGTAATAGGAAGCAACACCAGAGCAGCACAAAAGGTGGGGATTCTCAACAGTGGCTCCTTGAACAATACAGGCCCTTTTCAGAGAGCACCAGTTCACATATAGGCAGTTTTGACCTGAGAAGTTTACAATTGAAAAGCTATATATTCTCACTAGCGACATTAACAAGAGTGACGGATAACATGAGAGCTGTGCGTGTACGGAACTAGGGGGCTAACCATGCTAACGGATGCGACTGGCGGTGAAAACCCAACGGGGCTCAAGTGAGAAGCGCTGGCAATGCAGGATTTACATACACTTCAGCTTGACAGGTGAAATTTGGCATATTTTTTTTGTTTATTTTGAATCTGCGTGAGCGTGAATGAAACAAAGTCAGTACCAACTTTCTGCAAATGAAGACACAAAAAAATTGTGGAAATTTTGGTAAATAGACAGTGCTGGTCACCAAGCCTGAACACACACACTTAAGGAAATGCAAGTGTCCATTAAGTAAAAGGTAGTTTTTTTTGTTTTTTGTTTTACTTTAATCGCCTACCAAAGAATTTTGTCTAAGAACACTTAAAACAGAGATGCTTCATAGCCCAACTTATAAAAGAAAAAACTTTTTTTGTTTGTTTTTTTTACTTTTCAACAGAGAGGTACTTGGCTGTCAATCTTTTACGGTTTGAAATCAAAAGTTGGGAGGGGGGAAGGAGGGGAGAGAGGGGTATACACAAAACATTAAAAATCCAAAAGGTTACTCTACTGCTCCCCTGACGTACATTAGCCCTAAAATGTAGCAAAGGCAAAGCCCTACTTCCAAACTCCTTACAATTACCCACCTGGGCATGGAAAGGTTTACTAATGCAAGTTCCTGCAAAATAGAATATGATATGTTCTACTTGCGCTCTACTAAGTTTCCACAGGGATCGGGGTCCAAATGCTCACTCGAACCAGGCGTTTAAAGCTCAGCAGCTCAGAAGCCACTTTTGGTCACATGGCTAGATCGTATCTTACGGTATCCTAAACATTAAAACACTAAAAATGAAACCGGAAGGGTGTTGTTTCAAGTTATAAAGGGGTAGAACTTCACCTTACTTGAGAAGAAATGCCTGGGATTAAAAAAGAAAGAAAGAAATACATTTAAGTTTGGCTGACCCCTGAAAATGATTACAGCTCAATTTTAGAACGGCGAATTTCGCAGAAGAATTTTATGAATGGCAGTATGCCCTGGCCACTTACTGCTGAACAGAAATTTCTTGTGTTTCCAGTAACAATCAGACAATCCATCATTACGGGAAGGTAAATTCCACAGGAGAGGGGTAATTAGATGGCAACTGTGTTCAATGACTAGCAATTTGTTTTCTGAAATTAACACTGCATGACGTTTTACTTCTGTAACCCTCCCGAAAAAGTGGGGGTTGGCTGGGGGAACTTTGTTTTCCTCCCCTCCATTTTGGTACCTCTTGGTCCCTAATTTGCAAATTTCCCCATTGCAATGCTGTTCCGAATAATTAAATCTTCTAATAGTCTGCATAGATGCTAAGAATAAAAGTGTAAAATAAATCTTAAAAAAAAAAAATCATCACATCCCACTATTCCTTTTTGCTACAGAAAATCCTGTATCAAAAATTTCTCAGAAACAGGACTTAAGTCATACTGTAATTCACTCATGCATACAAAGCCTGGAGTTTCCCATTTAATAAACATTATTGTAGTCACATCAGCCGAATTTACACGAGATCTAGGCTCGGTTCTGATTATTTTACGGAGTACATGTGGTAGATTTTATTACGTTACAAACTGGAGTTAAGAGAAACTTGAGACCAAGTTCCACAAAGCACAGTGCAACATTTTAAAGAGGGATAAAGGAAGCAAAACTGCCAAACATTCGACTCTTTCTTTTCTTTTCTTTTGCCAGGACAATGAGATAATTTTGCTAAGACATCAGTGCGATGGTGGGGTTTTGTTTCTTTGGGGTGGGGTGTTTTTTTTGGGGTGGGGGGAGGGAAGGATAAGAGGGAAAACTTAAATGTGGGAGGAAGGAATTGTAAGGAAAATAAGAAATAACAGCCACAACCTTTTGAACTTTTAAGGGCAGATTATAAGTCTACGATATTTTTGATAAATTCTGACAAGGAAAAAAAAAAGAGAAACAGCATCCTTTAAAAGTATATTGAAGCAGTGATTTTAAACAAAGAAAGCAGAACTAGAACATCTTAAATTTTTAATCCTTTCTTTACAGGTTACCTAGCCCACTTTTGATTAAGAAACTGTAGAAAGTTAGTAACAGCCACAAGTTAACACCGAGAGGTGGCACTTGTCAATTTCCCATAGAGTCCTGCTTTGTGGTGTGTCTGAAATGCACTGCTCCAGATCTTCTATCACACATGGCTGACATCAACTCTGTCAGGGTTTTGTTTTTTTTTAGTCCACTGGTCGCTTTTCACCATATTTCTTTGTAAACTCTTCAGCGTTCTTACAGAATTTTTTACGGTCCTTAGAGTATTCTTCAGCTAGGTCGGCCCGAAGTGGGTGCTCGGGCTGGGGGTCGTTCACCAGTGCTATGAGGGACTGGATTACTGCCGAAAGAAAGCACGGAAGATGTCAGTATTGATGTGCAAGAGCCGGGTTGGGGGGGAAAGAGTATTTCAGTACACCCAAGCCTATTGGTTTTTTTACTTTTAAAAAAGCAGAGGTTTTCAATCGCCCATGGCCTCCCGCTAAAGGTGCTACCAATACCACATAAAGAAAGCTATTAAAACCCATGAGAAATTGAACTTTCAAACTGCAACCCTAAACACTGATGGGTTGAAGCTGGGACACGAAGGGAGGAGGGTGTGAACCCGACAATCATTCTGGGCTTGCTCAGCAATGCTGGTGTTATTGCATCCAAAAGGGTCCAACGTCTGCTTGTATTTCTGACCAACTTATGAGAAAATAGGGAATTAAGCTCATGACTGTGCAGCGATAGTGTCCTTTCCCCAGGTTTACTTTGCAGTTCCTTTTTTATTTCTCCCAGCTTTCAATAAAGAGTTTGTACATTATAATAAATTATTATTATTATTAGATGTCAAAGAGAAAAATAACTATCAAACTTTTAGAAGACATCGGAAGGCAGCCCTGTTTAGGGAAGCTTTTAATGTTTACTAGGTTATTGTATTTTAGTGTTCTGTTGGAAGCCGCCCAGAGTGGCTGGGGAAACCCAGCCAGATGGGCGGGGTATAAATAATAAATTATTATTATTACAGAACTGCTGCTGTCAAAGTCTAACCATGGTACAGCCAATGTTTTATGAGGGTTTACGGTCAGATGTTGTATGCCATCCCTTGTGGTGGCTGCATCCCACCCCCTGAAGATAAGAACTAAAGCCCTCATTAAACAAAACCTTTTACAGTTACCTTTTACTTAAATTACCACTAAAAATATAAATTAGTCTGAGAGAAACCATGGCCATCTGCTGGAAGTCTTACCTTGATCAGTTTTGGTGGCTGGCTTCCAGTTTTCAGCACTAATTACTGGCAAACAAACCTGCCCCTTTTCATCGATGTTAGGGTGATAGATCTTTGTTTTAAATGTAATCTTGGGAGGTTTGAATGGATACTCTGCTGGAAAGTTGATTTCGATTCTGAACGCACCCTTGTCGTACGGAGGATTGTCCTGGAATGAGAAGATAGTAAGAACAGTTCAATATGGGATGGATAGATTTCAGAGGAATCACCCACAAAACGGGTGGCTATAATGTTTTCATTCATAAAAACATTAATATATGAATGATTCAAAATCAATATACCAGGAGTTGTGTTATGTATCACAGAAAAGATGCCACAGGCTGATAAAGAGGAGTCTAGTGATGAAGTCGGCTACTAGAAGCAACATGCAGGACAGTGTTTTGCAGAATGAACTGGAACTTGGGAGATTGTATTGAACTCTAAAAGCTGTGGCTTGCTAAAACAAACCAGCAACAGAACTGCAGGCCTGGGGAGTCAAGAGAAGGGCTTTTCAAAGCAACTTGCTGTCACTGGAAAAACCACCACCACCGCTGCCTCCCTCCAAGGAAAGCTTTAAGTGTGGGAATGGAGAATTTCCATGCCCCTCTATTCCGTCACGTGTAGCTTGACCCACTTTTAGACTTGCCTTCCTGGCTATCCCTGAAGCTCTCTTCTCCCCACCCAAGGACACATTTATTTCCCCCACTGCCTTACCATGATAAAACCTCATTTTCAATAACATACAAATACATAATAAAAATATAATAGCAGCGAGGATGGGAGGGATAAACAAAAAACAGCAAAGATCCAACAGCAGCAATGAGGAGCCGCCAATTATCCACTGAATGACCTGGGGATTGGAACAGCTTTTGTTTGGTGTCTAAAAGGTAGTCACTCCCTGTCAAGCCTTCAAGAAGGATATTCCATAGATCAGATTTCTGGGGTGCCGCTTCAGAACAGCCCAAATACCCTTTCCTTCAAAGGCTAGTTCTGCGGTGAGTGGGAACAGAACCACTTCTGGAGCAGCACCCCATAAATCCGACTTGTGTATAGAATACCCTTGCAGTTAAAAAACAACAACGAAGGGCACAATTCCACATGCTTCCATTCTATGATGTGTGGTTTGTGTAATGAGTATCCCTCTAGCGCATCCTACCCTCCTTCACTTCAAGCCTTCTCCCTGCTCATAGTACACCCACACCATGCTGTCCCTCTGGCTCACTCACTATATGCCTCCTGGCTCTTTCTACTCCTCTCCCCTCCTGTTTCTCTCCCTGTTGATCACTACTAGCTCATGCTCTCTGCCTCATTCCCTGACGCTGCTGCAATAACAGCGTTCTCTCTACCAGGAAATAAAAGCATCAGGGAAAGAGCTGGGTGCCTAGGCCGCGTGGCACTCAATAGACACAAAAGCCGGCTGCCATTTTTGCACCTCACTGGTCTGAAACATTGTGTTGAAAACCAAACTTTCCCTAAAGCTGAAGTTTAAAATTCAGTAAGGAAACCTGCATTCAAGAGCAACACCAGTTAAAAGAACAAATGAACTAATGAATCCATGGAAACAGTGGCTGCAAGGAACCAGAAGGCAAACGCAGTTTGAGATCATTTAAAAATGGGAGGGGAGGGATTAAAAATTAGGCAGGAACATCTCTTCTCTTCAGGGAGGCGAATCCAATGGCCAGAACTCAGAAAGCCCTGCACCACGCAAGAGGCTTAGGTGCTTGTGTTGCTGACTGAGAACGCCACATGGCAAATCACAACTGAAACCAAGGGATGGAGGGAGGCTTTCTGCACAAAGGAAAACATCTTGGGAAATCCCCACTCTTTTGGATCCATACCAACTGTGTGCTCATAGATTCAGTAACCTTTAAAATTCTAGCCATCCTGCCTCTAAGGCAGGAGCGGCTAGACATCAAGTTTATCAATGCAAAAGATGGGCAGGCAGAAGAACAGGGTGCCTCTGAAGATACACAAAGCTTAGGGGTGTTTTTAGCAGCAGGATGAGATTGAGATCACTGCTCATCCCCACATGTCCTTTCCTGGTTAGCTTTCTTCATTTTGGCAGCCTAATTTTAAGTGGGAACAGTCGTTTGTTGTTGCTTTCATTAAGCAACTATCCAACTGGACCGAACACGGGTTAGAGCTCAACGTTGAGCCTACTAAGTGGTGAACGCAATGGCGAAGAGGACCTTCTTCGCCGCCTCTTTTGCATCTACAGGAAACAGCAGGAGACTTCTTTAGGTGGTCCGCAATCTAACAAAACCACCTTCATCATTGGGGTCTGGTGAAGAGCCCAAGATCTCCTGCAATGATTCTGCAAAGTTTTTTCCAGATAAAGTCACTCAGATTCGGGAAGAGGTAGGTTCCGCTGTGGTAGTGAGGCCAGGGCAGGAAAGTGCTAGAGTCCTGTCTGGTCAAGTTGCGTGGGATCAATTCCAATCTGTTACCTTCGAGGATGTGGACAGGTTATTAAACCGCTTCTTTTAAAAAAATATTTGGACCTGGCCAATATGGCCAACTATTGCCCAGTCTCAAATCATCCATTCTTGGGTAAGGTGACTGAGTGGGTGGTTGCTGAACAACTCCAGGCACGCCTGGAGGATGTGGACCATGTGGATCCCTTTCAATCGGGATTCAAGCCTCATCATGGGACTGAAACTGCGGTTGCGCTGGTCTCTGGTGGGCCAGGGACCGAGGTAAAAGCTGTTTCCTGGTTCTGCTGGATCTCTCAGCAGCCTCAGGCACCATTGATCACGACATCCTTCTCGACCGTCTAGAGGAGTTGGGAGCTGGGAGCACTCTCCTTCCTCCTGGGCTGCGTCCAGACAGTGGTGTTGCGGGGGAGTGATCAGACCCCTGGGCTCTCACTTGTGGGGTGCCTCAGGGATCGGTCCTCTCCCATGCTTTTTAACATCTATATGAAGCTGCTGGGAGAGATCAGGGGGTTTGGACTGGGTGTTCACCAGTATGCGGATGATACCCAGTTCTACCTCTCCTTCAAATCTGAACAAATGAAGGTCCTGTGCGAGTGTCTGGAGGTGGTTGGAGGATGGATGGATGGCAGCTAACAGATTGAGGCTGACTCCTGACAAGATAGAAGTACTGTTTCGGGGGCACAGGGGGCGGGCAGGTGTGGGGGACTCCCTGGTCATGAATGGAGTAACTATGCCCTTGAAGGATCAGGTGCACAGCCTGGGAGTCATTTTGGACTCACAGCTGTCCATGGAGGTGCAGGTCAATTCTGTTTCCAGGGCAGCGGTCTACCAGCTTCACCTAGTACGCCAGTTGAGACCCTACCTGCCTGTAGACTGTCACGAGTGGTGCATCCTCTGATTATCTCCTGCTTTTGACTACTGACTATGTGGGGCTACCTTTGAAGGCGACCCGGAAACTACAACTAATCGAGAACGTGGCAGCTAGATTGGTGACTGGAAGTGGCTGCCAGGACCATATAACACAAGTCCTAAAGGATCTTCATTGGCTCCCAGAACGTTTCAAAGCACAATTCAAAGTGATGGTGCTGACCTTTAAAGCCCAAACAGCCTTGGCCCAGTATACCTGAAGGAGCGTCTCCTCCCACATCGTTCAGCCCGGACACTAAGGTCCTCCTCCAAAGGTCCTCTGCTGGTTCCCCCACTGCAAGAAGTGAGGTTACAGGGAATCAGGCAGAGGGCCTTCTTGGTAGTGGCACCCTCCCTGTGGAACACCCTCCCTTCAGATGTCAAGGAAATAAACAACTATATGACTTTTATTATAAGACACCTGAAGGCAGTCCTGTATCGGGAAGTTTTTAATGTTTGATGTTTTACTACGTTCTTATATATGCTCAGAGCTGCCTAGAGTGGCTGGGGAAACCCAGCTAGCTGGGCGGGGTATAAATAATAAAATTATTATTATTTATTATTATCACCAGGTACAAACGACCTCAGTAGCACTTTTGGAACCAAAAGAAGCTGCTTTCACACTCACAGGAACAATAAGCCCTTGCCAAGTCAATAAGTTAGCTTCATCAACTTGGATATTACGGAAGTTCTTCATTCCACATTTGCGGATTTCTTCAAGCTCCTACAAATCAAGAATAACAAAAAAAGAATGTTAGAAAGAAAAGCCAGAAAACAGTTAACAGTTTAGGAAAACACACATTACTTTTTTCCTTTCGTATTAAGTGGATGGGGATTGAAAAATAAATCAACTGCTGAACATCACTCTTCTTACTTTGGGCAGGTTACATTTCATGGCTATGCTGAGAGTAGGTTTTGTTTACATTTCTCTAATTTGTGTCAGATATAAAATAAAATAAATACCACTACCGATAAAAATAAGGTACTTTCAGTCCCACTATTTTCAATCAGAAAGACTACAGCAGGTACTCCCACTAAAATTACTGAGACTTGAAAGTGCTTCACATACCCCAAATGCAGTAACCCATAGAAGAACGAAGCATATGTCAGAATTATATCAGCATACTGCAATACAGTATATTGCCCAAGGCCAAAACCAAGAGATGAAGATTACCTATTGAGCAGGTTTGACTGTTTTAAACCAATGCAGTTATTAAATAATTAATTTAACCTATTGCAATTGTAACCCACTTTTGGATTTATTTATTTATTTTTAAAGAAAAGGGGGACAGTGTTTGTTCTAAACGTAAAAAAATAAATCATGATTTAAACACACCAAGAGAAAAATAAAAGCCCCAGAGAACACATTAGGTTCCATCAGTCTCAGAGGGCAGTCCATTCCTCATATCACTTGGGAAAAAGACTACATCAAAGGCATGTCCTGCCTGATAATGTTGGACCAATGAGCATTTTAGAGAGACCCATAATTGTCATGGAGACCATGAAGTCTCTAGCTGGCTCAGTATCTTCTGTGTGGATATTGAAGTCCCCTAGGAATATCATCCTGGCGTCCTCCAACAATACCCCAGAGAGCACCTCATTCAGCCCTGCTGGGCAACAGGGAAGTTTATGGTTTGGGGAGGGAGGCAACTTTCATTTGCATTTGTTTTTCAAAAAATGTTTAATCGAGAGGTATTGCACAAGAGTGTTACTCAGCAATGCCAACATTCTGATGAAGCAGCACTGCTATTACATTCTCCAATGTTATTCCCTGCATGTTCGGATCTTGAGAACGGCGTTCAAAACTCCCATTGCTGTAGGTACATTTTGCGACAGGGAATTTCATTAGCGCGAGCAGTTTCTGAGCTCTGGGCGCAGTACTGCACCTAAGATTTCAAATTAAAACTGCACAGTGGAAGGAAAGGAGGGCCTTTTTCTGCCTCCTCACTTCCAGCCACTCTCTGAAGAGACCCTCTTAAGAATATCAGGGAGGGGGGCAAGGGAAGCATGGCTTTGTTTTCTGCAGTCTTCAGACGAGGACTAGACCATGTGGAAAATGAACAAAAGATTTTAGCTGCAGTTCATTCATTTTCAGCTTTGTATTCTTTATAAAAAAGTGCACCTAGACATTCTGTTGTTGCGCCCATAACCTAGGTTTAAGGTGCCATTTAACTCCTAACTTTCATACCTCAGTTTCTAACACAGCTTGAGGGCACAGGTCCTCTGAACTGGGTTGAAGAAATTTTGAAATGCCGTCATACTTAAGTTGCCCCAGGGTGCCTGCTTACTTATGATGTCGTGCCATAATCTAGTAGCAGGTACACTGACTGGGAAGTTTCATCACGAAGAGACAGGTGCAAACTTAGCTATGGTAAGGTAAAGGGACCCCTGACCGTTAGGTCCAGTCGCGGACGACTCTGGAGTTGCAGTACTCATCTCGCTTTACTGGCCGAGGGAGCCGACATACAGCTTCCGGGTCATGTGGCCAGCATGACTAAGCTGCTTCTGGCAAACCAGAGCAGCACACCGAATCGCCGTTTACCTTCCTGCCAGAGCAGTAACTATTTATGTACTTGCACTTTGACGTGCTTTCGAACTGCTAGGTTGGCAGGAGCTGAGACTGAGCAACAGCTCACCCTGTCGCAGGGATTCGAACCGCCAACCTTCTGATCGTCAAGCCCTAGGCTCTGTGGTTTAGACCGCAGCGCCACCCGCCCTTTAACTATGGTAGGTCACAGCTATTACTACTGCCATAGCAATAATACTTTACTTCTTGTAAACTTGCTGAAAGCTAAAGGTAAACAGACCTGGTATGATGTTTCTCCACTATCCCAAGTAGAACACATAGGAACAGGAAAGAAAAGGCAAACACTGGCTATACTGTCAAAACCCAAAGATGGCAGCAAACAATAATTGTATATAATATAGATTGGCATAATGGAAGTGTCAACTGGCATTATGGAAAGACATGCTATCCAAACTTATATGAACAAAGGGGACGAAGAGCACTGAAAAAGATTCTCAAACTTCATCACAAGCCTTCCCAAAATAAACTATTCACCTGGCAGCACTCATCCACGCAAGAAGCCCTCACATCAGTAAAATGAGATCCCATGCAGAAAGGATTCAGACTGATTCTACAGAAGCAAAAGCATGTGGTCCACTGACTTCCCCTTCCCTAAGGAGACACTGTTTGTGTAGTCAAGGAGAATTTATTTCCCTTGAAAACTGGCCAGGCCTCTCCAGCAATAGCCTACCTGAAAGTCGTGAGAACCCTTTGCTTTCATTTAATGCATTTTACCACACTCTTTTAACTGAAAAGGCTCTCGGAGCAGCTTACAATGATCAGTAGTAACACAGTCCTCACCTTCAGACTTACAAACTGAAGAGCGTGACACACAAGAGAAAGGAGGAGGAGATTGGAAGAAAACACACACATACTCAGGTGCCAATGCTTCACATTTCTGCTGTTACAGAAATGACGAGGAAACAGTTCAGGTAACCTGGTGGAACTAAAGACAGGGGATCTCTCAGTCTCTGTAGCTTGGTGTAAATGATATAACCAAGCTACTTTATTAGGGGCCTAATCTGATTATTTAGTACTTAGGTATCACCCATAGAGGGACGCGGGTGGTGCTGTGGGTTAAACCACAGAGCCTAGGACTTGCCGATCAGAAGGTTGGCGGTTTGAATCCCCGCGACGGGGTGAGCTCCCGTTGCTCAGTCCCTGCTCCTGCCAACCTAGCAGTTCGAAAGCATGTCAAAAGTGCAAGTAGATAAATAGGTACCGCTCCGGCGGGAAGGTAAACGGCGTTTCCGTGCGGTGCTCTGGTTCGCCAGAAGCGGCTTAGTCATGCTGGCCACATGACCCGGAAGCTGTACGCCGGCTCCCTCGGCCAATAAAGCGAGATGAGTGCTGCAACCCCAGAGTCGGTCACGACTGGACCTAATGGTCAGGGGTCCCTTTACCTTTATCACCCATAGACCTAAAATATATACTATGTACTTTTGGCTTCTATTTTTACATAATTAAAATGTTTTTCAGTGACAGCTACTAATTACTAATGGACATTGTGACTGGTAATTTTACAAGGGACAAGGGTTATGAGGGGGGAAAGATAGAAATCATCCCATTTTTAAACTCTAGTTCCCAGACTATATACCATCTAGCCTATTATTGTCTACTCCAGCCTCCTCAACCTGATGTCCTCCAGGCATGTTAGACTACAATTCCCATCATCCCCGATTATTGGCTATGCAGGCTGGTGCTGACAGGAATTGTAGTCCAAAATAGCTGGAAGGTACCAGGTTCAGAAGGACTAGCTTACTCAAACTTGCAACAGCTCTATCAGGTTTCAAGGGAAATCCTTGAAGATGGCAAGGATTGAACCAAAAACCTTTACATGCAAGCATTAGGCTCTGCTAGTGAGCTATGGTTCTCCCTGATGTGTTTATAACAAAGCCAATCACTAGAAGATATAAGGTGAGTGACCAGGACTAAAAAAAACCAAAAAGCCTGATCCACCTGGATTTACCACTGATGTCTACTGTCATGATGTACCCACACAATAACAAAAAAATAACTGCAACTTTTGCTGCATTCCCATGAAATGAAAAAGTACTCTGATGGAAGTTCATTGTAAGGCTCAATGTATAGTTATTTTTAAAATGTCTCAGTAAACTGCTAAAACTGTGCAAAGCTCAGTCCAATCTGACATGGCACTCTGCAAACAGCTTATTGTACACCTATGGAAATAAACATGAAACAAGCAGGAAACAGCCAATGGAATGTGAAACTTAGGCAACAGGTTTTTGTTGAGTCTCTCCTTTAGTGTGACTAATCACTTCCCTTAGTATAGAAACTAGCTACTCTGTTAGTATCAAGGTGAATTCAAATCGCCAAGGAAAAAATGCCAGATTATAATCACGGATTTCTTCAAACGAGCCTATTTGCTGATGATATACTTCAAAATAAATACTAACTGATTGCTGCAATCATAAAAATATGGTAGGCTTTTGCAGACAGATGCTAGCTGGAATACTCAAAGGATCTGTTCCCTTTCAGGCTTCCTTTCTGTTTTGGTCTGCCTGTCTCCTTTCTTATACAACTGCCCTTTTCTACCCGACTCTTGCCCCACAAGGAAGTACAAAATCTCAACCAGAAGAAAGGTCTGGTAATCGTTACTCAGCAGTGTTCTCTATGAGACTGGAGGTAAAGGCCCATGAAATGGTCAAATGCTTACAGCAGGCTTAGGGAACCTAAAGCCTACCAAATGTTTGACTACAACTCTCATTATCCCTGGCCACAGGCTGGGATTGATGGGAGTTAAAAACCTTCAACATTTGCGAGACCACAGGCTGGCCAGTCTTAGTTTACAGTACTGAAAGAACCAACTGAAGATTTCAGACTGCTATTAAGCACAAAAAATGAGTCAGAGTCACCCAGATCTGTCAGTGGATGACACCTGCGGCAGTCTGCCCAGCCCCTGGCCCTTAGTAACAAGCTATAAAGTAAGCACACAATCTATTGTGCCATTCAATGATCAACAAAGATGTTTTCCCCACAGTTCTTTGTAAGAAAAAGCAACTGGTTCAGTTTTAAGCGGTTACTTTAAGAGAGTAGCTTCTCATAGCTGAAACTCAAATACAAATAGTCTCCACCTCCCTAATCCTAAACCCATTAGCCATTCTGAATCAAAATGTATTTAAAAGTCTTCCTAACTG